AACTAATCTCGAGAAAAGCAGCCATAACAGTGTAAATTAGGGAGAAAATGGCTAAAATAGGCTGGAAACAGCTGATCGCCGCGCTCGTGACACGCCGCAGCCGCGTCGCGACCCTTGGCCGCCTAATCAAGTGCCCGGATGACGACTGTATATACCCCCACCACAATTTCTTTTTCCATTTTTTTCGATTTTTTTTTGAATTTTTTTAGACTTACGCCAAAATTTTTTAATTAGTGTAAATTTTCGTATCAAGCCACCTTTTAGGGTGGAGGGGTGGGTCGCACGGACTCGACCGAAATTTCCAACTAAGAATGAGCCCTGGTATTAAGAGACCTTTCTCGCCAGAACTTGCCAAAAAAATCCCTCGCTCCCAACAAAATGTTGTTCTCATAAAATTTGCACTCAATCCTTATCGCGTGCTGAGCAATGCAATCACTGATGTTATCAATGCGATGTTCGACCGTTTAACTCACGTCACCTCACAATAAGACAAGCAAATATTATTGATCGGGGTCGAAGGGGGCGGTGCATATTTTCGAAATGGCAAGACATTAAACATCAAAACATCAAAACTTACCTTCGATCGTTGAGACAAGCGTAACTTCTGCGATGGATCAGCCCATATTTTGAATGGAATAAACACAATCAAATCGTAGACGAAGAATAGGATCTGAAAAAAATTATAAAGAAAAACTGTTTATCTGCACTGATCGACTTTGATCTACTCAACAAGCCCAGGTGCTATTGAGCGTTTAGTGTGGGTCTTATTTTGGGGCGAATCCTCATCAATTTCACCGACTGTTCGGAAAAATGTCGCGAGTTTTTCGTTTACACCATTTTACACCCTACGAGTGGTGCTCGTAAGCGCAACAGCACTCGTGAGAGCTTTACTGAGAAATGGGTGAGAGAAGTTTCAGGTATTGGTCAATAGTAGTATTATTTAACAATTTTTTGTGCGACAACGCATATTTCAGCACTTAGTGATATGTTACTTGAATATATTTTTCATCTTTCCGTTACGATAAGTGTTTTTTGAAGCCGCAATTCACACTTCGAAACTGTAACAGACAGTTTACTCACCCGGACTGCGCGCGCGGGCTCCTGTCCTTGGGACCAGGTATTTATCCATATCCCAACAAACATTATTGATGGAATCAATGATATTCTTATACCATTATTTATTGTATTGTACCATGTTGGGCGAAGGTGATTTAACGGCAACTGGCATCGCTTACCACGCTCGCGATTAAGAGCCGAATTTTGGAATGGCACCCACCCACGCCAAGCAAACCTACAGCCCTCCGAGTCAGATAAATTTTTACCATTTCGGTCCGTGGGTAGAACTACTGACTTGCACATCGTTAGACCCGTGAGTTATTGATAGGCCAGATCGCACTCAACGAGCCACTAGGATCTGAATTGTATTGAAAGCCTGGCTTTATCCCTTATTCTCCCGATGCTGTGTTACAGTGGCATGCATCAAGTCGATAAATGAAAACGTATAATGAAATAAATAAGAAAATTGTTAAATAAATGAATATCAGGCTGTTCAAAACGTTTCCCTCAACTCGGTTAGGCATTTCGCCCAATTTTGGAGAAAGTGACCTGGAACCCTCCATCAGTAACGTTCATATGTGACCTGACATATCCCCTACAAACCCCTCTATTCTTGTGATATTGCGTTACGACTATGGCACAGAAAATCGTTCTTGACTGTGAGCAGGGTGACTGTTTTACGAGCTCAGAGGGCAAAGTAGTGGAAGAGAGGCGGTAAATGAAACATGCTATGCGATGGGTCCTACCACCGTCTCCTACAACACTGTAAAGGTTTGGTCCTAGGAGTCTTAGGGAACGGTTAATTTTAACTGGAGGGCCAACCGCGCTCTGGAAGTCCAGAGACAGAGAATGTGGTTCTTGACTGCAAGCAAGTTGGACGCTTTTGCTTATAGGATCAGTAGCAAGGCAACGGAGCACCCTTGAGCTAGTATAGAAGCTCGACTGCCATCAGAATACCGTAGCTGGTCATCTGCGTGGATTTGGGAAGACATGGGGATATGGCGCAAGGATACCGTATGATCTTGGCGGCCACCACCTATAGGTGCGCAGGGCATGCGTGAACTTCTTAACTTCCCTGCGACTTTTTCCTTGGCTCTACAACTTAGCTACAGGCCACGTGAAAAAAGAGTAATCCATGTCAACCACACTCGGAAGCGTTAGTGACTCAGGCGGCTAACCAGGGATTCCTACACCGAAACCGGGACTTCATCCAAAGAAGGTGATGCTCAGTGTTCGGAGGAATGGCAATGTAGTGGTTCACTGGGAGCCGCTAGTTGCACACACAACTGCCTCTGCCGATGGCTGCTGAAGTTATATGAACTGTGCCCTTGCAGTTTTTTTTTCAAGATTCTCTTTTTTCCATTTTTTTGAGTTTTTTTTTCGAACCTTTTCGAAGACATGTGCTAGAGCGCTTCTTCGCTTCAACCGCCGCGAGTTTT